TCAGCCAAGTCGTTTGGTAAGATTTCGCTATCTTTGATTTCATTAATTAATTCACCATTTATCCAAGCCATATCTATTCTTGTCCAAATTTTGTGTGGGTTAGAGTAATAAGTAAACTGTTCTTTTTTGGGGTTTAGTTTTCTCCAGATATCTACCAGATTCAGTTCATTCATCATATCCTTACATGGCTTTGAAAATTCTCTTTTTCCTTTTTTATTCTTACTCATGTTACTGTGATCCTTCCGGTAGTTAGCAATAGAGTTAAAATCGCCAATCAGACAAATATTGCCTTTTTTGAAATCTATTATTTTTTGGTGGAGATGTTTGAAAAATTTACCTTGATCATCATTTGGGGCATAGATTACTACCAGTAAAAATGTAATGCCATTAATCGAAGTTTGTACCACCAGAGTTCTTCCTTCAGGGTCCGCCCAGATTAACTCCGCTTTTAAATCATCTCTCACATATATCGCAATACCTTTCTTTTTGTGCTTATCTGCTGGTGCTGTGAATAATTTTCCCAGTTTCGGACAATCTAGAAATTTCTCCTCACTTTTCCTAATGTGTGTTTCTTGTATGCAAATTATATCAACATTTTGTTTTATTAGTTTGGTTAGAATCCTCTTCCTTTTAGCTCTTGAATTTAGACCGTTTATATTGATGGAAAGGATTTTCCTTCCTTCCTCCATTTACTGAAGTCTGCCTCGCTTTTTGTCTCGTAATTATACGGCTCTCTTCTTGTGGTTGGTATGGGGATGTTTCTACTCTTTCTTGTTGTAAGTTGTCTTTCCCTTGAGTTTGGACGGGTCTTTCTTCTTTGTTCCTATGGCGGTTCCGATCTTCCTGCGTGTTCCTTTGTGTTTCCTCCCTAGTGTGTTGATCCTCCATGGTTGTTAGCTGTTCTAGGAAGTCTTGTGCTTGTTCTATTGAATCTATTTTAATTTTTCTTCACTTCCATGATATTAGCATCCCTTCTGGAATTTGCCATTTGAATTAGATTTCTTTTTTATTTAAGTGGTTAGCTAAAAATTTATATTCTTGCCTTAAGGCCCTCACTTTTCTTGGAATCTGCTTAAGAACTATGATCTCTTTGCCCTTATATAATATTCTCTCATCTCTGGCCATTCTAAGTATTAGGTCTCTCACGCATCTTCTTGAAAAGCGGATATGAATCTCCCTTGGGCACTTGTGACGCCTTGCGTAACTGGTGTTCACCCTATAGACTTCATCGAATTCTTTGAGTAAGTCCTCTTTCTCTTTTTCAACTAGTTCAGCCAACAAACCTGCCATTAATTGCTCTAGTTCTTCATTTTGGGATTCCTCCACGTTTTGGAACCTTAGGTATGCTGCTGCTCTGTCCATCTCAAGTTGGACCAAGGAATCTTCCATTTCTCTATTAACATTTTAAAAGTCTTCCTCAGTCCTTTCTAGGTTCCTCTCCGCTCGTTCTGTCCTCCTCTCTATTTCTTTTATTTTTATTTCAGTTCTTTTCATGGCCAATTGCATTGTCCCGACCTTATCTTCAACTTTCTGTATATCTGCTCTCATCTCTTCTTTTAATTTCCCCAATTCAACTCTTATTTAAACTTCAATATATACCTTAAGGTTATGACCTTCAATATAATACATAATACATAACTTCCAATCGAATTCTGCTTGGTACATTCTTATAATACACAGTATATTCTTTTTGAAAAAAGGATTATAAATATATGTAATTATAAACCCTCATTCCATTCCAATTCAGTTCTATCATTAATAATCATTAAAATCTTAACATCTTTAACACTTCTTTTCAATTAAATATCATGCTTCCTTAAAGACACATATAATCTCCATAATTAATTTTTCCCTTATTTCTCTTCACATATGTTTTGTAAATCATTAAATATTCATTTTGTTACATTTATTTATTGACAAGCATTCCAGTGAATTACGATAGCTATTTTATCAAACATTTTAATCATACATTGTTTCATATTTTCTAAAATTATTTCTGTTTCTAATATAACAATACTATCTTATGTACCTTTGCAGAATCCCTTTTTCCATTAAATTTTCACCCATTATCTCTAAATAGGCCCTGTTTCTCTATATTTTGTATCTGTCCTTTATAACTTCTTTTCCTTTCTTTCTTCCCTCTCATCTTCTCCCTCCCCTTTTTACCCCCTTGTCTCTCTACTTCTAATTCTCTCTTCTGCATTTCCCTCTTCTGTTGCTTTCTGATTTTATACTTATTTTTCACTCTATTTTTTTTTTTTTTTGGAGTTGTTTTTCCCAATCTTAAACTTTCCATTCTCTTTCCCCCCTTTCCTTTTTTCCCCCCACCGAAGATTACTTGTTCATTAAAGATGGCTTCTTCTTTATCACAATCTTCTTGTTCTGCAGGCATTTCTTGTTGTTTCTCATAATTCCAAATCTCCATTTTTAAAATCTGAAATGCGAAGCCAAAAGAATCTCTCCCTTCTTGTGCATTTTCTTTGTACTTTTTAAGTTCCATTTTCAGTTCTTCTAAAAGTGGAGCCATTTTAAACAGTTTTAAACAACCACCCGATTGATTTTAGTCATTCAAATACAATAACCAAAAATCCAGAAATCATCAAGTAATCAAAATAGTCCCGAGTTATTTCTTCTTATTTCTTTTTCCACTTTCTCTTCCTGGGGTTTTTGTTGCGATATTTCAGTTAAAATGTATCTTTTTGAAGTCTTGTTGAGATTTTACTGTAAGTTCTTTTTAATTCCAGGCAGTCTCCTCCCTTCCAGATCCTGTCCTTTTATTCTTTTTCTCTCCTTTCCTGTTTTCAAAAGCTTTTGATTATCCAGAAATCTTTATTATCCCTTTGACTTTTTATTTTCAGCATTAAATGCCTATTGATGTCAAAGTGGATTTTTTTCCAATTTCTTGCTTAAGTCTCTTAGCTGTCAGTATAGGAAAAGGAGGGGAAAAAAACCAAATCTTTCCCCTTTTCTCTCTCCTTCGCAGCTTAAAAATCTTCTTAGGGAACAATGTTATTGGGTTTTTTTAATAGTTTCAATTCCAGGGTACCTTATTTGTGGCTTTTGCTGTTTGACCTGGTCAACCAAAATTTTCTCTTCTTATCTTCCTCCTGCACATTCTTTTCCGGTCGAGTTCTTCTTTGTGGTGGCCATTTCTGACCACCGCTACAACCGCCTTCGGGAAAGGGAGTAATGGCCAGCTGGGGAGAAGAGATGCGGTCTCCTCAACCCTTCAGGCAGTCTCCCCCCTCTTCACCACCTCTACGGGGTGGCTTAGCCCTGAAACCAGCTGGCTCGGGGCGCTCTAGCGGCAAGCACGGATCGAAGCCTTGCAGAGACGAGGTTTCGGTCTGTCGCCGAAGAAGCTCAAACCGGAAGTCCCAGGATTTTTGTTTTCTTATAAAACAAACAATAACATTAATCATGTGGCTCTAGCATCTAAGTATTGAGAAATCAGGAAAAATAAGTCGAGTAAATCAGGCTGTTATACCTTTCATTCATATGAGCCTGTTGTTTTCCAAGCTGTGTTGTAGCCAGACTGACTACTTTACAGAATTGCTGATAAATTCACAGCTTAGAAATTACTTTTGGACTTTGCTGTACACTGAATCTCATAAAGTAATGTATTTATTGTACCTTTTAGGCAGAAGTTGATGAGTTACATTTGATTTTGCTTCTTGAAAGCTAGATAAATATTAATTGGCTTATAGATATTGTATGAATATATGGGTCTTGATTGCTTATCTTTAAATTTTTTATCAGCTTACAGAACAGATCATGGGTGTTAAACTCGATCGCGTCACAGACCGGATCGTGACGGATCGTGACGTGTTTTGCCTTTGCAGAGTCAGGATGTGCATGGCCTGCACGTGATGTATCTGGCCTATGGACTGCCAGTTTGACAGGCCTGGAATAGTGAACTCTAATATCTATGGAGATTCTCAGTCATCCAAGTCATGGTTGTCCCAAAGCTGCTTTTTCAGGAGGCAACTGGACTTTCTCGTCTTTCTTTTAAGATGTTTCACTTTTCATCCAAGAAGCTTCTTCAGCTCTGACTGCATGGTCAGGCCATTCCAGAGGCCTTTCATTCCCCACCATTCAGTCAGAGCTGAAGAAGCTTCTTGGATGAGAAGTGAAACGTCTTCAAAGAAAAATGAGAAAGTCCAGTTGCCTCCTGAAAAAGCACCTTTGGGTGAACTCTAATAAGAATAATGTAAGAACTGGATGGCTAATAATTAAAACAAATTGAAAGAAATGAAAGAACCATGTGATTTTATGGTCTTCAAGATAGCAATAACTATAGCACTTAGACTTATACACCGCTTTATAGTGCTTTACAGCCCTTTCTAAGCAGTTTACAGAGTCAGCATATTGCCCCCAACAATTTTGGGTCCTCATTTTACCCACCTTGGAAGGATGCAAGGCTGAGTCAACCTTGAGCCTGGTGAGATTTGATCTGCCAAATTGTAGGCAGTCAAATAGCCTGCAGTACTGCACTCTAACCACTGCGCCACCGAGCTGTTGCTGACATACAGATTTCTGATACTGTAGAGTAACACCTGATATCCTCTAGTGTATTAGTTCAACAAACACTTTTGTCTTCTACTGTAACCTGTTTTATTAGCTCTTTGCTGGTTTTCTGCACATAATGCATAGAAAACAATTACTTTTAAGCAAAGCAATCAGCTGAAACAGATTAGCTTTGCATCCACACTTTGGGAAATCAAGTATATCATCTTCATTTTTACCCCCAAGGCAGATCTTTATCTGTCAAACTGAAGTGTCAAATGTATTGTGCCTCCTTTACACAAATCTACTGTAAACTCAATGAAACAATTATTTATAGAAACCTGGTTCACACAAGTAGAAATAATAATTTGAAATGTGGCAAAAAAATCAACAAGCAGTCACATTATGTGTTAACATCCTCACTATCTATAAAAAATAATTTAATGCCCTTATACATATAGTATGTCTGCTCTAAGTTAAAATTTGGCACCTACCTTGTAAATAATCCACCATATAAAGAATGTAATAGATAAAATGCCCAGTCAAGATTTTCAGTCTCATCTTCTTTAAACCAGGTATAACTGAAAAACTGAATGATTATTGATGAAAACAGTCCTGTGGACAGTATTAGGATACCTTTCAAGTACTGGCCTTCACACAAAAAGTTCTTTGCCGTCCAGAGATCTGTTCCAATATCAAATGTATAAACCACAAGCCCAAAAAGAATAATAAAAAAATCTACTTTAGTAAATCTTTTTTGCTGTTTTTCACGACTGACCACTTCATTGCAGGTAAAACAGTTCAAAATGTTTTTCTTAGTAGAATGAAACATGGGAGTTTATGTTGGTCAAAACAGCAGGTTAAACTAAAAAGTCAGGTCCACAAGTGTAGTACAAAATTTGTTTGACCACTAAGTCGTCATTGAGAAAGGAACAGCATGCAGTTCAAAAGATGCTGGAAAGGCTAATGCTTCCTTATGAGTCCTGAAAAGAATAAAAAAATTAGTATCTAAGTAATTCAGAGGTTTATAAAAACTCATTATCAATCTCAATAACTATAAAAGAGCAACTTGTGTAATAAAGGTTTATGATGGTGTGTAATTCTGTGCATGTTTTGAGTTCAAAAAGATATTTCCTCAGGAGGAAATATATTAACTGAATAGATGAAAAAAGAAACATTAAGACTTTTTAAAGTCCCGGTGGAACTCTTTTTTTCTATTTCCCATAATTCCCTAAGGCATTTCAGAACTTGGTTATATAATTTTATTACAAAAGCCTCTACATTATGTAAATAAATAAACATTCCAGATTAAAAATAAAACACATATGATAGAACACACATGCTACTGGAAGACAATATAGTTCTTACACAATAGGAAGGGCAATCCTGTCTTTATGATTCCAGCAAGCTGGGCATATCTTCCAAGTAACCTACATTATGTGGAAAGGCCCAGAAATACTTCATTCCTAATTGCAACTTATAATATTGCCTACTTCTTCATACTATCTGCCTCACCCTTTCCTTAGAAGGTTGGGTTATTACAATGTTCTAATACCTGCCTGGCATTATTTAACTTGACTGCTAATAATTGCATAAAATGCATACTCTAATAAATCTGGTTAAGTACTATAAAACCAATTGTCTTTACTGCAATTACCATGCAGAAGAGAGTTGGTCTGGTGAAAGGAATTGGATAAATTTCTGCCTTCTTGACTTAAACATTCTTTGAAAAGAGATTGTCACTTCTGCCTTTCAAGACTATAATCTGCTAGGTAAATTGACTCTATGGTGTTCTAAATCAAACAATTAAAAGCTCCTTGTAAGGGTTCTCATGCCATTATGCTGTTTATTGAATAATTATAGTTAATATTGAATAAAATATAAGACATTGCCACTTTGAGAGTAAATTATTATACACTATTTCTATCTAAACTTGCCTGTCATTCCAGCAATGTTGAAAGTGAAACCAACACTTGGAGGAAAGAATCCAAGAGAAAATAATTTTTGTGGATATTTATGCTCCTTCTAGAATTATGTAATTCTGTGGTTAACATTTATTGAAAACCAATATGAAGATTCCATAGAGAAAAATAAAAATTCATCAGGGATCAAGCAAATATACATTGTTGGCCTGATGATACAACCACAAATAAATATTCCAGATAACAAAAATGTAACTTTCCTTTTGGTCAATTAATACTTTTTTTCCACCTGACTTAATCCCAGTGAAGTCAATTCATTAGGCTTCTTAATAGTATAAAGTCTTTTCTATACTGTCACAGCATAAATGCTTTAGCTACCCCCAAGAGAATTAATGAATGTCAACAATACTGTAATAAAAAAAATTACCTTAAAACTTGCCACATAGATTTAGATTTTCAGTAGAAAACTCTATATCCTCAGTAGAAAGAAACAGTGGTTTGCATAGTTGGACTTTGTAATCTATACCGATAAGAGGTTTGGGTGTGAGCAAAATATAAAGTAAACTGCTTTCATCCACAAGCCACATAATACTTTAGACAAGATGGGCGGCACACAAATCGAACTAAATAAATAAATCTTTTGGTATTTGGATACAGTGGCTAAGGCATCAGCCTAGAAACCAGGAGATTGTGAGTTTTAGTTCCGCCTTAAACACTAAGCCAGCTGACCTTTCACCCCACCCCGTCACTCACACATAGACATATTCTCATATCCAGGAAGGAAGTAATGGCAAACAACTTCTGAAAATTGCAGGAACTAGTCCAGGCCAGTGGGGGGATTAAAAAATTTTTACTACCAGTTCTGTGGGCGTGGTTTGGTGGGCGTGGCAAGGGAAAGATACTGTAAAATCTCCAATCAGAGGTGGTATTTGCTGGTTCTCCAAACTACTCAAGATTTCCGCTACCGGTTCTCCAGAAGTGGTCAGAACCTGCTGAATACCACCTCTAGGCAGTTGTCAATAGTCGATTCAACACCAACTCAAAGGTACCATAATTTTTTTGGCTATAATCATTCCTTTAGCTGAATTATTATGTTAATAAATCATTTTATCTTGAAAGGACATTTTGACATGAATCAATCTAACCTTTGCCCTTTGCATCTGTTAAAGAAGTTGCTTGTACTATTTTGCTAAGGATGGAAATCATTTGTTAGGAATTCATTCTGTAAGAGAATTGTATCCTTTTCTATTTGGTTTCTCGCCTGTGCAATTTGCTTCATAGCTAGACACATCCTTGGAGACAATTCCCAGGAACATCCTGCTGCATAGATGAGGGTGGGCTGCCTAGGAGCATGAACGCCCAAGGACAAGGGATACTGTGTAAAATAACAAAGTAGGGACAGAGCACAGACGAAGAACCTTCCATGGATAAGGAAGGGGAGAGCATGGGCAAGACATTGCCCACATTAATAATGAACCTTTGTTTCTGATTGGATAAACTTTGTTTTTATCAGTGTAAAATGTATGCAATAATCTGAGCCACTCTCACAAGATGTGGCTATTCCTTACATGCATTTTGTCTGTATGTTTTGGACATAGTATTCATCCAAACTTTTTGCTTTGGCCAAATAATAAAAAAGCTGTTGTTTTTGCAAGCCTTGTCTCGAGTCTCACTCTTTGGCATCTCCGTGGCTCGGGAAAACTTCTGGGACCTTACAATCTGATTCCAACTGTCTATGATAACTTAATAACAGAATATCAGAGTTGGAAGGGACCTTGGAGGTCTTTTAGCCCAACCCCTGCGATGGCAGGAAACCCTATACCATTTCAGACAAATGGTTGTCCAATCTCTTCTTTAAAACCTCCAGTGTTGGAGCACCCACAATTTCTGAAGGCAAGTCATTAATTGTTTTACTGTCAAGAAATTTCTCCTTAGTTCTACGTTGGTTGTCTCCTTGATTAGTTTCATCTATTGCTTCTTGTCCTGCCTTCAGATGCTTTGGAGGATAGCTTTTCTTCTTTGTAAAGCCCCTTAGATGTTGGAACACTGCTATCATATCACCCCAGACCTTCTTTTCATTAAATTAGACATACCTAATTCCTGAAACCAGGAATTCATAGGTTTTAGCCTCCTTTATCCTCTGATCACCTTTTGTTGTTCTTCTCTGAACTCTTTCTGAGTCTCAACATCGTTTTTGTACTGTGAAAATTGAATTAAGCCTTTTTCTTATTCTTTTTTCCTGCAAACTAGATTTCTTTTAATGGCAGTGGTATTCTAGTTGAACCATTCAAGATAGGCATTGTGATTATCCTATAAACTGACAACACTCAAGTCCACAGGCACTACCCACATGGTAGTTGGGTTATGAAATTACCTGATACTAAGTTAATCTGATCTGTGACACTGGAAATATGAGTCTAATCATGTATTTAAATCCTCCAAATTGCTGCTGATGGTGCAATAATTTTACCTCAAGCTCTATTTTTGTTTGGATTGTACTTCGATGATGGAATAGACTTTATTCTTCTCATGGTCCCTAATTCCCTAAAATGTGCCCTCTCTGCTCCATGAAGGAACTCAGCTGTGCTTTGGCAGCAATTTTTAGAACACTAATTAGATCCCCAAGGCTTGCAAGTGTCCAGCAAAATCTCCACTTAGAGGCTAAACTAAACATTAGTCCCTCGTAACTAACACTATATATGTCTAGTGCCCTGAAGGAAGTGACATGAAGAGGAAAATGAGCAGAAATGAGAGCTAATCAATCTTTCCTGTAAAACTCTTTTCTTCATTAAATTATGTGTTTCATTTAGGATCCCATCTGACTCAAAAAAAATCCACCCTACTGCTGAATTAATTGCACCTTTTGGGGTCTATTAATCTCTTGGATAATAAAAAGCAGAATTTTAAACTGGTAGAATAGGGTTAGGATGAAATTGAAGCTCTGGAATACAGCAAGCAATAAAGATATTAGATGGGATTGTTCCTGAGATTTCTGTCCTTATCTGATAATGAAGGAAGGTTCATACATTGGTAAAGTGAGGAGTTGCAAATGATAAAATCTTTGGAACATCACTGGAAGGATATAATCAAACATGGTTCTGAACTCAGGTCTACTAACAACTTTCTATCCTTCTTCCATCTGTGAAATGCCAGGCAGCAGCACTATTCAGAATTATCAGTAAAGGATAAAACAAAATAGTGTAATTTCTTTATGAACAGCATGCTGGTCATTTCATGGATAAAATCATACTTTCTGAGACTTCTCAGAAAATAACAACTAAATGAAAAACTGCTGGTGACCTTCTACTGCTGCACCGTAGAGAGTATCTTAACTTACTGCACCTCTATATGGTTTGCCAACTGCACAATGGCAGATAGGAAAGCACTCCAGAGGGTTAACGTCATTGCCCAGAAGCTCATTGGTTGCCCTCTCCCCTCTTTGGAAGAGCTTTATAGCTCCCGCTGCCTTAAGAAAGTTCAAAATATTCTCAAAGATCTATTTCATCCTGTGCACCCTTTTTTTAACTATTACCATCTGGCAGATGGTACAGAATAATAAAAACAAGGACAAATAGGCTGAAAAACAGCTTCTATCCCAGGGCAGTAGCTCTGTTGAATTCTGCTATATAATGCAGTGTTGGTGCGGTGTTGGGGGTTTTCAATTCAATGTGTGAAGTGTGAAGGATGTGTGTTTGTGTTTATTTTCATGGTCATGGATGTGCACTGATGATGGTGTTTGATTTTGTTGTACGAGGTGCAATGACAATAAAGTAAAGTAAAGTAAACCTATAGCTCCAGACTGAAAGCCAGATAGTCAAAATCCAATAGATTTGGAGGGGTAGCACCTTGCAATGTTTTATAGAAGTGTCTGTAAGTCTATACATGCCAAAAAAGATTCATTGTGATCCTACCTGGCCACCTGGAAGATTCATCTGTGCCCCACCTGTCTGGTTACGATACCAGGGACAGAGCAGGTAATGCTGATCAGGTAGCAATTAGTAATTTGCAAAAAGCAGGAGTTAGCTTAGCAGCTACCTTAAAAGACACTCTGGCTTGCCTCCTCCTTTGAAGTCAATCCAGGAATCTTAGTCAACTATTATCATATATTACACGTCTTCTATATAAGTATGTGATGGAAAAGGTGATAAGACAACAATTAAATAGGTCTAAGGAAGAAGCAGATTATCTAGAGTAGAGTAGAGAACCAGACTATCTAGTCATCTCTAGAAAAAATGAGCATCACACAAATCAATTAAACAGATAAATAAATGTAATCTTTGATCATTAGGATTTAGACACCAGTTTGGGACAGAAGCCATATTGTGCTGTCCTATAGTGGGGTTTGGATATGGAGAGTACAAACATTCTTACCTTACTGGACCTCTCAGTCCAGTAAGAATGGCATCCTTCAGGATCACATGTTAGGATTTCTTCTGACTCTTCTTTAGAAGGCAATTCCCAATAGTGGTTATTAGACTTTCCATTGTGGGAGATGAGGTGGAAGTTTTGACTCAATGCATGAAGATGGATAGAAAAAAAAATAGGCTCAGACTCAACTCAAGCAAGACAAAGGGACTTTTGTTTCAGAAGCTTGCTTTTTGTGAAATACAATTTTCCCTCTGTGAGGGAACAAGGTTCCCTTAAAGAGCAGGGGTCTAATCTAGGCCTCCTCCTGGATGGATGCACAGGTCATGCTAAAAGAGAAAATAGAAGCCCATAAGGAGGATCTTTTTCTAGCTTCTATGGGTACTCTAATTCTTACCTGGCATGAGATGTGTTAAGGGCATTTATGTCCTTATGAACTCTTTTGAATTACTGTAATGTGCCCTACGTGGCTTACCTTGAAGTCAGAAACTTCAGCTAGTGCAAAATATGAATGCACATGTGTGCTTATGAACTGAACATCTTATTTTTGAATATACCCACTGCTACAGGTGCTGCATTAACTTCAAGTTTGTTTTCAAATGTATTTTAATATGTTGATTCTTACCATAAATCCCTATATGACTTGGAATCTGCTATCTTCAAGACTGTCTTTTCTGACCAGAACCTGTCTGTTCAATACACACATTCAGCCAGAGGGAGCAAAGAACTTTTCTTGGGCTCTTTCCTTTTATGGAATAGTTTTCTACCCAAAGCAAGAATAGCCCTTTTCCAATACAAAAGATAGTTAAATCCTGGATATTTCAGAAGATCTTTGAAGACTTTTCACTAGACATGTACTTGTCGAGATACTGAACGATGGATTAGCTTATTCTTAGTATGTATATTTGATATAGTATAAATGTATATTGCTGCTGCTGCTGATGTTATCCATTCAGTCATTTCCGACTATTGGCAATCCTATAGGCTAGGTCTCACCATGTCTTCTGGTATTACATTATTTCTTTGAGTTTCTATATATTCTGGCTGATGTCAGCTTTATAGTGTCCAGCCACCATGTTCTTTGATTACTTGGTTTCCTTTTACCACTAATTTTTCTGAACATAATTGCTTTCTCCAGTGAATTCCCCCACATGACATAGCCAAACTAAGTGAAACATATATTGCTATGTTCATATGTTAGATTTATATTATATATATATTATTTGTATAAGCTGATTTTTATATTTGTGGCTATATATGGCTTAGAGTCGGTTGGTTAAATATGGTACAGTGTAGAAGATAGTATAGGAGTCATATAATTAATACATTTTGCCTGCCATTAAAGGACAGAGCTTTTATCTTTGCAACTCACATCTCTCTTTCTGTCCCTTCCACAGCTGTTAGCCAAGTTGATAAGTCAAGGCATGGGGCACAGAGTGATATGAAAGAAGGCACCTCTAATACTTATTATCCTTTCTACAACCTCATGACCTATCATCAAATTACTGCTTAACATGGATTTACTATTATTTCAAACAATAATATGTTCAGAAATGCTCTGCTGACCAGTTACATGTGCAGAACATTCCATACCTGTCATCTGTCAAATGTACAGGTATATTTACCTGGTCGTACATACCAAATTGAATAACAAAGTTGGAAGGGACCTTGGAGGTCTTCTAGTCCAACCCCCTGCTCAGACAGGAAACCCTATACCAGGGGTCCCCAACCGCCGGTCCGCGGACCGGTACCGGGCCGCGGAACAAGCCTTACCAGGCCGCTGGTTGCTGGTCGCCGCCATCTTTTTTTTGGTAAAAAAGCGCTTCTGGTGAGCTTTTCCGGGTAGAAAGCTCACCGGAAGCGCCTTTTCGTCATAAAAAGATGGCGGCGCCCAGTTGACGCCGGTACCGGGCCGCGGCGCCCAGCTGATGTTGGAACCGGGCCGCGGCGTCGAAAAGGTTGGGGATCCCTGCCCTATACTATTTCAGATAGATGGTTATCCAATCTCTTCTTGAAAATCTCCAATGCCGAACACCCACAACTTCTGGAAGCAAATTGTCCCACTGATTGATTGTTCTACCTAATCAGGAAGACAGATCCATGCCATCCATTTTAAGGATTTAGTGTGGTATTCTCTTCCTTTCTGGCAAAGTGATTTTTAAACAAACCCAAGAAAAATTCATCAGTCAATTTCCTTAATTTGTCCAGGATTTAAAAATGCAAGAATAACAACAGTCTCTGTTCTATTCTTCAGAGAAAATGGGGCCAGTAGATCTTCAAGGGGAAATTTATTAAACAATTAATGATGTTTCACTACTATTAAACTCAGAAAGAATAATATAAACTTAACTACACACAATATTATATACTTAAGTATTCCCTGAAAACTTGATCATCTGCTTTGCAGATGAATATTGGGGGCATTTTGCAATTTAACTTTCTCCACAAATTTTATTATGACATTTTGTAATCTTCAGTGCTGTTACTGCCATCTACAGACAACATGTGTTCTCAAGGACATGCTATTTCAATATCCTGGTATAACATTTGCATGGCTAAAACATTTTTTATTCATTTTTGCAGTTATTTAGAAATGAATTTGAACCCAAGAAGCATACATATTTCAGCTTTTCTCTCAGTGAGTTTATCCTCACCATAAACTATGAGAGATCCTTGAAAACTTCACTGAACTGCATCTCTCAGTATCCTCTATCACTGCCAGTTAAGGATCTTTTGCAAACTGAAATTCCTTAACAGCTGCAGAGATTAGACATTTTCCCAATCTCTATCCTAAGCAATAAAGATTAATAACAGTAAAGAACCTGGAACTTGTTGAAGTGTTAAAGGCTTTATTGATTATGGTGATTTAAATGGGATCTCATGGCAACTTATTTATAAAACATCTGGACCATACCCAAAATATCCACCCAGATGGAAATTACCAGGGCAAAGGAGTGCCTTCCATGAAATTCTTCACAAACTCCAATATTTTTAGGACTATCAAATATGGAAATGAACCATCTCCATCTGGAGTGGGTAACTGGAATACCATCCAGATGTTTTGGAATTCAGTTAATTTAATTCTTTGACTTCAAGAGAAATGTGTAGCTTTTGCAGCTCAGATTTAGTAGTTCCAATTTTAGCTAGCAGCTCCTTGTCAAATGCTAGGTTGCCTCATAATGGCTCTTTGTCTGTCTGTCTACGCTGCAAGAAATAAGTGAAGAATATTGGGGGCATATAATTTCACAGGGTCACCTAACGTGTGAAAGTCATCCCAGCTGCCCATCTAAGCCAAACTGGCACCTTTATTGGGCAACAGCAACATAGGAAGATGCTGGGCATCAATTTACTAACAATACTGAAGGCATCATTTCATATGGCACAAGAGAAGGTAATAAAGCAAACCATTCTATTTTATCAGGCAAACCACACAGATGTAAACTATAAAGTGATTTACTACGTTGGCATAGTAGTTTATGGGGAACATGTACAGTATTTAGCCAGACCAGGTGACTACAATTAAATTTTTATTCAACAATATTACAGAATAATGTAATTATTAATGAAATTTATTGTTTCTGACAAATGCATATTTTAGAAACCAACTTCTCTTATAGTTACAGAATGATTGCTAAAAGCGCTTCCCTTTTCTCTCTTCTACATACTGGATCTGCTTCTCAGCCTACCCCGTTCTCTCCCCAGCTGGTCCGTGAGGCGCGTCACCGGGACTCCTTGTTTCTATCCAAGTTCTGCCCACTTTGCTTTTAAAGGAAGTATCGAGTTAACTCTTTACATTCCACACTCGGAGCAATCGTTCGTTTCCTTGCATAGTTCAGCAGAATGTGTGAACCTGGGCCGTTGAAGAATCGCGCTCTTTAAAAAGTCTGGATTGCTTCGTGCCCCCCAAAATATTATAACCAAGGAGAGGGGAGGAAAGGGAAACGCAGCGGTGTGTTAAAAAAAAGCCCCAAAGCCGAAGTTGTCACTCTACCCTTTTTCCTATCTCTATATTTTTTGCTCTCTCTCTCTTTCTCTCTCTCTCTCTCTCTGCCTGTCTTTTCAGGCTGGCCGCGAAGATGTTGTCTGTGCTGCCCAAAGTGGAGAAGCTGTCAGCGCGGGTCATCCGCGTCCTGGGCTGTAATCCCGGGCCTATGACGCTCCAGGGGACCAACACCTACTTGGTGGGAACCGGGCCCAGGTAGGTGGGAAGCAGCTCGGACGAGGGACAGACGCGGCTCCTTCGGATCTGTTGGCTTGGGGCTCCGGTGGGTAACGCGCTCCCTTGGCGTGAGCCTTTCGTTCCGTTTTTAAGCAAAGCGAGGCTCGAGGGCTGCCCGGGAATTCCTATTTCGACCCCCTTGCTTTTCACGCGCTGCTCTGACTATTAATTCATACGTTTCCTCTTTATTGTACAGGTAGTACTGCGATGGCGTGGTGACGGGAGAAGGCGGGGCCCTAGATGAGATAGCAAAAACATTGGGGCTTTGTTTTGTTTTTTTTGTATCCCCACCCTACCCCCGAAAAAAACTCCATAAACATTGGGGGACGGAGGAGACATCGCTCACCGGATTATTCTATGCATGTGATTAAAGTCGCCTTTGGATCAGATGGACGGCACACAAATCTAGTAAATAAATAAATGTAAAAGCCATTAGTGCAACCTAGGAAATGTTGCAATGCGATCTTCTCTATTCAGAAATCCTATTTAACTCCAGGGTCTTATTCCCTAGAAGTGCAGGCTTGGGACTTTTCCAATTGCTGTATTTAAAGTGCTGTTCTCCAGTCCAGTCAATAAGCTCATGGACATTTATAAACATCTACTCCGCTTCATTGACAAAGCCTCTTAAGTGGTGCTGTGTGCGGGACAAGTTAAGAAAAACACTCTACTTTTCCCTTTCCATAGAGTAACGTGTCTCAAACTTGACAAGTTAAAAATTGTCAGCTGCAATTGTCTGGGTCAGCTTTGTTATAAACATGTTTGTATATTTTTCTCACTTTTAATTTGTTTTGCTATTCCCTTTTTCCTTTTATGTTAGTTGGTGTTTTAAAATTTGAGTTTGAAATTTAATAACTTTTTTTAAAAAGCAGCACTGCCTTAGGGAAAACAACACTAATGAGTCTCCTTAATGCTTAGTGGGGACTGGATGAACAAGTGCAACAGATTCTTTTAGTCAAGTTGCTCAACTAAGATTGCAGGCATGGAAGAGCTGCACATCTATGAGAAGTCTGGGCTGCTTCTGAATATGAACCTCACACTCTTTTGAAAGGGTCAGAAAATACTATGGTTCACAGATTGCAGATATAAGAGGACGGGCCATGTTTAGAAATATCCGAAGTGATTGTTCAGAGATGGGGAGAAGAGACTATGAAGTGCATAGGGCACATCACTCCACAATCCTCCTCCAGGGCCTATTTCAAATTCATTGGAGTGAAATAAAACTAGAAGGAATAATTAATAATATGCAAGCTGCATCATAAATTATAGGTAGTCTTTGACTTAAACCATTAAACTATTTGTTTAACGGCCCTTTTAAGTCAGCACTGGAAAAGGTGACTTGTGACTGTTTCTCATTTTTATAACCATTGCCCCATCCCTGTGGTCATGTGATCAAAATTTGGATGCTTGGCAACTGGTTTATACCCTTATGATGGTTACGGTGTCCCAGGTCACCTGATACCTTTTTGCAGTCTTCTGACAGGCAAAGTCAATGAGGAAGCAGGGTTCATTTAACAACTGTTATTGACTTAACCACTGCAGTGATTCACTTAACAACTCTGTCAAGAAAGGTTGTAAAATGAGGCAAAATTCACTGTCTCATTTAGCAATAGAAATATGTGGTTGTAAGTCAGTTATGGGATTCAAAAAATGTTACCACCAGTTCTGTGGGTGTAGCTTGGTGGGCGCGCTTTGCACGCATGCAGAAGGTTTGCTACGGACCTTTTTCTGCAGTCCTGCACTCTCCCTGTGTCCTCAACAGTTGACGCGTGGCAATCTGCTGTGCCGCGCAAAGCACCTGAGCTTCAAAACCAGGAAATAAAGGTCAGAATAGAGTCGGAGCAGGCGAGCGGGCCCAGCAACTGATCATCAGAGTGAACCAGTTCGCTCACAGATGATCCTAGAAGCTACCGGTTCAGCCGAACTGGGCCAAACCAGTAGAATACCACCAATGTCATAAGTCAAGGATTACCTATAATGCTGCAAGCAATTGTACTGGCAGGAAGGAGTCCTGGGCTGTAATATTTATTTATTTATTTATTTTATTTTATTTATTTGATTTGCCAATTGTTTACAAGATAATAAGTATAAGTGTATACATAGTTGTGAATACATGAAATGGGTACATATAAGAAAAATAAAAGAAGAATAAGAGAAACAATAGGACAGGGACGGTAGGCACGTTGGTGCGCTTATGCACGCCCCCTACAGACCTCTTAGGAAAGGGGTGAGGTCAGTAACCTATGTAATAGGTGTGGTTCTGTAGAAATAAGTAAAATGGCATCATTCCCCTAAACATCAAAACCAGTTTTTTAAAAAATGTCTGGTTTTCTTGCTTGCAGAAGCACTGTAGAAACAGTAATGCCTCACAGGAAGGAGCTAGCCACACCCACCTGCCTCAATCATTCTTGTCTCAATTCAAAACAGCATTCTGTATAGCCAAAAAGAGCTCTCTCTAAACCTAAATGTACTAGTAAGCCTGTGCAAATAAGGAGCTTGTGTAACACTGACAAATTCTTTAGAAAGAGCCAGTCAATCACTGTCCAGGCAGATGTTGGTCATGTGTCTGTAGCAGCTCCATTGTCCAGGGACCAAGGGAAAGGAGTGAATCCATAACAACCCAAGTGACCGGAGAAAGACTGATTCCTTCCCTGATCAATCAAAAAGTCAATGAAGCATACTAAGTCATATTCATGGTGAAAATTGTGCCTGAGGGATACTTTAAAACTGGAATAACTTTAGCTAAATTTAGGCTTCCTTTACTACAGGATAAATGAAGTAAAGGCAGTCTCAGGCAATATGCTATTTTAAAGCAACTAGACCTCATTATGCAGTTAGAGGGATCTGGGGATGAGTGCTATTCTAGAGCACATGCCTGGTTCTTCTACAGAGCCCTATCTTGAATCTTGGCTATTACAGTTTAGTTGTCCTCTTAGGCAATGTAAGTCTTACTTGGAATCTTGTTCAACTTGTCACTTTTTAATTTGCTCTTGGCAATGTTTTCTCCTTCTGTGGACAAATTTCTCTTTATTACCTTTTTATTGGATTGTATTTGATCCATTTTATTATAATCCATTTTATTTTATTTTATTTGATCCATTTTATTGTTTCCTTTGTTCACCTGATTGGATTTCTGTTCCCGTGGACTTTTTTCACCATTATCTCTATTCTCATAGGCTTGTTAATAGTGGTGGGATTCCAATAATTTAACAACCGGTTCTCTGCCCTAATGATTTCTTCCAACAACCAGTTCACCAGACTGTTCAGAAAGATAAGAACCGGTTCTCCCGAACTGGTGCGAGCTGGCTGAATCCCACCACTGCTTGTTAGCTGCGGATGAACAATATTATGAAATTAAGAGAGACTATTTTGCAACAGCTTCCCACTTGAGATGTGTATGGTTCCAGCTTTACTGGGTTTAGAAAGGCAATGCAATCTTGCTCTTGCAGATGTGTCCTTAAATATTTTTCTTTTGGGGTATTTGAATGAGTGTACTTATTTTTCCTGATATGGAATTTTCTTTATTAAATTTATATGCTGCCCATCTCACTATCAAGTGACTCTGGGTGGCTATTGTAATTTTTTAATGTAAAATAATGTATGTAAGCTGCTCAGTGACAACTGAAAGGGTATGTTTGATGTATTGATTTACATCTCATATAATTTTCTTTAGGATTCCGAATTACACAAAAGGAATGGGATATAGGAATAGAATGTAGAGTCATAGGGCTGGAAAGGACCTCGGAGGTCTTCTAGTCCATCCCCCTGCTCAGAGCAGGAATCTTATACCATCTCAGGCAAATGGTTGTCCAAGCAATTTTTGAAAACCTCCAGTGATGGAGCATTCACAACTCCAGGAGGCAAGCTATTCCATTGATTAATTGTTCTTATATTTCTTTTCATGTCACATTACACTTTTTTAACCTGGAACAAACAGGTTGTTAGCATCATTTATTATTACTTAGCCCTTTCTTGGTTTAATCTATTTTTATTATAGGAGGATCCTAATAGATACTGGAGAGCCATCTATCCCTGAATATATAAGCTGTTTGAAACAAACGCTCCATGAATTCAACATTTCCATACAGGAAATTTTAATAACTCATTGGCACCATGATCACACTGGAGGTATATCCAATATTTGTGAAAATATTCCAGCCAGTAAGTATTTTCTGTAGTTTTTAAAATACTTTAAAATACTTTGCAAGCAGGTATATAAAAATTGGTTAAAATAAATATAAGTTAAAACTTTCACTGTTTTTTGTATTTCAAACAAAGGGGCTTTTATCTCCAAGTATTTGTATGTTCTATTTTTCTTTAAAAGTGAAGCATCAACCTAAATTACATTATTACTAGGGTGAGCTGAATGATCTCCCAAACACCAGCAATGAGTGTTCTTTCCTACTGTATTGACCTTGTTCAAATTAAGCTACTCTAAAATTCTGCAGAAATGGGTCTTTTCAAATCTCTTCATGAGAACAGGAAATTGAGCTTCTTTGCAAAATAAAGAGCATTGATTGTTTTAATGTTTGCATGAATGTTTGCTAATATGTATTTTAACAGTTGTTTCATTAGAACCAGTTAAAGTTGTAGAATTTGCTATTGCAAACAAACAAACCTACAAAGGACTTGCTAAGTAGATTGTAGTGGTAATCTGGAGGCTGTTGTCAAAATTATTTGAATAATAGGCAGCAGGCATAGCATAGAACATATGTTCTGCCTTGATTGATCTGCACTTGTATAATAACATAAATCCATTTTATAAACAAAAAAAACTTTCATTAAAAATAAAACAGTAGAAACATAAGGCAACCTTTGAAACACATTACCAGTTTCCAAAATTTGAAATCATTTACAGCTATTTTATAAGTCTGTTTAAGATCAAAGATGGTCATAAGTGTCTCAGTCCTGAATTAATATAGATCCGGGGTGTCAAACACAAGGCCCATGGGCCAGATGTGGCCCACACTATGGTCAGGTCCAGCCTGCAGGGCCATCCTAGAAAATGTAAGGGCCGGGCCGGGTTGCTTCAGCCCAGTCTACCCCTGTCGCTTCAACCCAGTCTACCCAATGCAAAGAGGAAACATGCCAGCAGTTTGAGGAGTAGCTTCAAGCTGGTCACGTCCACCCATCTGGTCATGCCAGTGGGGGGTGTCAGGGGGGCCCCCCCCCCCCCCTTTGCCCCGCCCGTCACCCCCCCCCCCCCCCCCCGAGGTCAACCACAGCCCTGATACCGGCCCTCAATGAAATTGAATCTTTTTAAAAAGGGGTATATGAATTTCTAACTAAATTCTGGTATGATACAGATTGTTTAATTTTTAAATTAGGTTATGAGTATTGCATAAGTAAGCTTCCACGTAACCCTCATCAAGAAGAAGTAATAGAAGGAGAGAAGAAGTATGTGTATTTAAGAGATGGAGATGTTTTAAATACAGAGGGAGCTTCTCTCAGGTAAATGTTAACATTTCATATTGATGTTGTTTGCAAGTTTTTCATGTACAAGATTTTTTTCAGTTCATTTGCAGATTTTATCCTTTTAAAACTAAAAAGGCTTGTGAGATTTGTTTAAGATAGCTTATATGTTTTGCCTAGCCTTAATGAATAGGCTCAGCAGATAAAGAATATGAGCCTGTCAGCTGGAAAGCTGACAGCCCAGGTTTGAGATCCGAGCACCATACGAATGGGTGAGCTCCCATTATCTGCCCCAGCTTCTGCCCATCTAGCTGTTCGAAAACATGCAAATGTAAGTAGATAAATAGGTACTACTTTGGTAGGAAGTAGCAACATTCCATGACCACAGAAGTGTCTTCAGACAATGGTGGCTTCCTTTTAGGAAACAGATGAGCTTCCAACTTTGCAAGATCTTTTTTTGCCCCAGAAGTTGGAAGGCTTGACTGAACCTTTTTTTAAACTGGTAGTCACATGGTCTTCTTTCGTTGCCCTGAACACAGGAGAACGGAGCTGGAAAGCAGGTTAGTGAGTGAATGGTGGTTGTTCTAGAATGGGGTGGAAGTGAGGATTTTGCATTATGATGGCTCTGGAATGGGATGGAATTGTGGTATTTCTTTATAACCAAACAAAAGTGTATTTTCTGTGCACTTCACACCCCTTGGTCACTAGATTTGGATGTCACAAAGCAAAGTCCACATTTTGTAATTTAACCCCCGTGCCGTTTTGACAGAGTGCTGCAGGAGGCTGAGTGCTGTCACGCCCCTTGGCCATGCTCACCCAGCCGGTCATTAGGGCAGAGAACTGATTGTTAAATTATTTGAATCCCACAACTGGTCATAAGTCACTTTTTTCAGTGCTGATGTAACTTTGAACAATCACTAAAGGAACTGTTGTAAGTCAAGGATTACCTGTATACATCATAGGGCTACACAAGTTTCTGTGCTTTTGGTAGATAGCAATTTGCATACAATTATTCCTGGTTGATTTTTTTTTTAATGACTTTATCTGGCTTGTGAGGCCTTTGGTTTCTTTAGGAAATTTATCTTAAGCTATAGGTAGTTAAAGCTTGTTCTTATTTTAAAAATAATTTTACAAAGAAAAATTTGCTCATAACTCTGCTTCCACACAGTATAAGGATCATTCATTTCAATTTTGGATCTGAGCTTTTTCAATGTATGTTCATTTACCGCTGTAAGAACTTTCTTCAATTTATGACTTGAATATTATAAACATATTTAACTTTTCTGTCACTTTGCAGGGTATTATATACCCCAGGGCATACTGATGACCACATGGCTTTACATTTGCTAGAAGAAAATGCAATATTTTCTGGTGATTGTATTTTAGGAGAAGGAACAACTGTGTTTGAAGACCTTTATGACTACATGAAGTCATTGGAAAAACTTCTGGGAATCAAAGCTGATTTAATATACCCAGGTAAGTTATACATTTGACATTAATTGTATTAGCTCTTTGCTATAAGTATATTTTACTTGACTTGTGAAAAGTCCTTTGGCTGCTAAAATGTCTGTTCTTTACACTTATTCTCTCTGTCTCTCCCCCCCTCCCCCTCCCCAATTCCCTATAAGGAAAACAGTATTCAGAATTCAGCACCTCCAAGCTAATCTATGAAAGAAATCATGGAAATGGAATATCACAATAATACTTAAGCCGAAAGTCGTGTCAGATTCAAACCTTCAAACCTACTTCATTTTGTCATTCATCCACTTTACTGTATTTATTTATCCTGTATTATTCTGTGGGAATGCAAGGTGGTCCAGAAGGAGTAGAAGTTATCTATTCTATTCCCATGTCTCTTATTATGAAGTGTAGATGGAACAAAAGCCGTAGGATAACTAAATTGGCTCCATAGTTGATCAAAGACTTGAACTTGTACTTTTTTCATCCCATCCAGCATTTTTAATCATAATTCCCATTTCTTAGTTTACGTAATATATAGGCCACCTGATTCCTAACAAGTTTGGGTGGCTTACAATTTAAAACTTTTTTTTGAAAAAGAAGTTTCTTGAGTAGCTCAAAAACTACATAGAATCAGGAAAAAAAATCTAGCAGGGCTCATCCTTCACCCTCCTTCAAAGCCTGGAAGCAAAGCTGTGACTATAATATCAAGGTATAAATTGAAGAAAGCATTTAATAGCTTTCTGAATGTCGGGGAGGACATCTGGATCTCTAAGGGTCCCACTCCAGAGGAAAGGTGCTGCAACAAATAAAGAGACACATTACAAAATTAGAAGCTGTAGGCCTGTCCTGTGTTAATTCTGTAATATGAACACGTTAAATTATCTCTTCTCAAAAAGTATCCTGTACACACTATTAATTCATAAGTTCTCCCAGAAATTTGTGTTAAAGAAACATTTGTTGTGGTGTTTATAGGACATGGACCAGTAATAAAAGAAGCAAGAGCTAAAATTCAAGAATATATTTTACACAGAAATGCACGTGAGCAGCAAATCCTACACATCCTGGATGAGAATGCTGGGAAATCTCTCACAGCAGAGGAACTTGTGAAAATTGTTTACAAGGTACAGATGGCATCTGGTTTGGGTTAGAAATAGTTTTCAGTTATGCAGAAAGCAATGCAGTATAAAAGAAATTAATGATTTATAGCAAGAACAACATTTATCTAAGGAACACCATGTATGTGTACTGCTTTCAGAAACCATATTGTATATTGCACCTGGTTGTATGCTGGAAAGTGCATAGTATTAATACAAAAATTATTAAGATTATCATGCTTTGTTCAGACTTTAAACAGCTCTTCCAAAATCAGACACGTTTTTTTGTAAAATCACTAATGAGTTTTTTTCCAAAAACACCAGTTTCCTTTCTTTTTTAATAACTGCAACTAAAGTAGAAAACAAAAACAATGCCTCAAATTGCTTCCAGCTTGAAGAAATTATTCCAACACTAAGCAAATTAAACCATTTCACCGTGGTCTAGAAGGTTCACCGGGGAGGGGGGGGGGGCACGTGGGGGGCATGGAATGTTCTTAAGTTCTACAGAATGTCCCTGAATGAGTTCCCTATATTCATGTTACCTTTTTTGCATCACTCAAAATAAGAGAAATGCCTTCTCTGAACAACAGTTGCTCTCTGGAATATGGCTCCCCTGAAATATGAATTGCACCACCACCACCATTTTATGGGTGTTCCAAAGAGCCTTGAAGACCTGGCTTGTCGCCCAGGACTTTGGAATGTGTAATTGAAGCCCCCTTTCCTTTTCTTTTTTCTTTGTTTATATCTGGTATATTATCTCTTATCAACTTCGTTCCTTTTTTATTTGTGTTGTTTTCTTGTTTTCATGGTTTAATTGTAAGATTGTATGAAGAGAATAATTACCACTCAGAAATCTGAAACAAAATTTTATGAATTTTCCTCTGCACTCTGAAGTTGAGGATAAATATCTAATAAAAATTCATGACAGGACCTGAAAAAAAGTAAAGTTATTCAGAGAAAATTATAAGATTCATGATAGAGCTAAGCAATTCCCCCTTCCCCCATTAAAATAGGAATTGATGGGACAATTGATGGGACAATTTGCATCAAAACCCTGAAAAGTGTTTTAATCCGTACCAAATTTGAAAAGTTCTTGTTTTATTTTTTTTTAAAAATGAAGTTCCATTAATATGCATCATTTGAATGCTTTATTTCAGGATACACCTGTCCATTTGCATCCAGCTGCAGAAATCAATCTCAAACATCACCTGAAGAAGCTAAAAAAAGAAGGGAAAGTTGGTAAGTAACTTCACTGTTTATATATAACAATTACATTGTTGAATACCAAATGATGAAAGGAAGATAAAATTACTCACACTTACAATCATCACAGCTTTCCCATAGTCACATGGTCAGGATTTGGGCTGTCAACAATCAATGAGCTCATAGTATCCCACGGTCACATGACCATCATTTATTTTTGCTTGTTTATTTAATTTGCACATTTAATAACCGGCTACCAATAAGCAGAATCAATGGAGGAGCCAGCAAGGCACTTTCACATGAAGTCTCATTTAACAACTGTGTCGCTTAGTAATGGAATTTGCCAGTCCCAATTGTGGTTGTTATGGTTATTAACCTATGGCCTTTATACATTCTTATTTGATGAAAAACATAATTTGTGTTAAAAATATTACAAGGGTGATTAAAAGAATGACTAAAACTATCTGACAAAATGCTTCTCGGGATATCATCAGAAAATATGAAAAATAACTACATGTATTTCATGGTTTTTAATGTATCTTTTAAAAATGTAGTTAATATGTATATGCATTTAGGTATTTTAAGGTAAATATTTTAGATATTACTGGTTAGGGCATTAAAGTTTTGCTGATTAGGTTATTTATATGATCCTTCTTTCTCTTACAGTATATGAAAATTCTCCTAACTTCAAGTGGAAAAGTGTTTTATAAATATGGCATATACACAGTTTGACAAACGTGCTCTTCTATTTTCTGAACTTAAAAGGACTAAAAATTTTAATATCAAAATTACATGTAAAGCAGATGCACAAATGGATCTGTATTTTGTTATTAATCTGATTAAATAATAATTTGTCGATTGAAAGAATCATTCAGGGTGGAACAAGTGGATTATTTATTTCAAAGCAAAATATTCAAAATTTGCTTTGGATACTTGAATATTTTGTAAAGAAGTTTGGTTCAAGGAATGTTATTATTAATTAAATTTGTATGCAGCCTGACTCTTAGCAGTATGAGGGTTTAAGATTATTTAAACAATGTAAATTCATTGCCATTATATGAATTGTATAATAAATATAATAACTAAGTATTTTTGTTCATATGTAGTTGTCTTCCTTTTTTATGTATTGGTGTCATTTTCAGGATCTTTTTTAACTTGACTGGAAAAAAACTAAAATCTTATAGAATAGGATTTCTATAGATTAGTGAACACTAGCAATATAATATTCAATCTAATTTTAAATACAGTTGAATGAAAGTATGAAATGTTTAGATCTGAACTATGTCTGCAAGTTTCCAAATTTGAATGTATTATAGTAATCATAAAATTCCGTGCATCTTCATAAAGAAACATGGTTGCTGGATATATGCAAAGATAAAAGCATCCAATTCTATAAATTATATAAAGGAAGGGGGGGGGGGAATGACATTAAAAGCACAATACAGAAGAATTAAATTTATATTCCTAACTAGAATTTTTGACATTTCTTCAGATCAGCCTCCCCTGAAGCATCTTTTTTCATGTTTCAATTTTCCTGTATTCCTATCTTTTTGGAAACTTTTAAGATTTAATCAAAGGGTACGGTGGAGCAATGTTAAAGCCCTCACTTTTATATTTTCATGACAGTAATCTCTGTTCCCATTGTTAAAAGAATCAAACCTTTTGTTATATCTAGCAGAGTAAGGGGCTGGATTATCTGGAAAACATCTTCCCTTATGAATGTGAACTGTCTCTCTGAGTCTGTTTGATGTACAGTCTGATAAACTGTTGAATGCCTGAGCTTGCAGCATTTACATTCATAACAATGGCATTTTTTTTAACCAAGGTGGGAAAATGTGTCTCTGAAGTGTTGATCTATAATTTTCAGCATTCCTTAGTAATAAGAAATGCTGAAAATTGTAGCTCAATAACATTTGGTGAATGCTTTAGGAAAAGCCTGTAGGGCATTAGAACAAGCTGTGTGGTCTTTATATAAGCTATGTGGAATGGCAGAAATAAATGCTTTGAATAATGATGTTACATACAACTGAACATTGTGCAAAGTTGACATTGATTACACAAAGTATCTCCTCTGAGCCCTAAAGCAGAGCTACATGCTTACACTGCTGAAGCAAATCAGCAATATCCGTGTCAATTAGAAATATATATATAGTATCTTGTAAAATAAAAAATAGCTATGAAAAAATAAAATACTAAAAGATCTTATGAAAACTACGTTATATTTTGAGTTTAGAATTAATAGTTATGTTTATAATATTCTGTCAAGGTATCCAAAGTTGCTACATGTTCTTTGATTCCCAAGGACCGCAGATATGGATTGAATGGCAATCCATGGTAAGATGTCAATTTTTCTGAAAAATTGACCTAAGAGACCATTTTAAAACCAGTTTTGAAAAACTATTATAAGTTATGGATGTTAATATATGCAGTATATGTAGCCACTAAGACACAGATATCAAACTCAATCACGTCACATGACATCACATGAGGTATCATGACATTTTTGCCTTTGCGGAGCTGAGGTAGGCGTGGCCTGCATATTACACATCTGTCCCGCAAGCCGCCAGTTTGCCATCCTTGTGATTGTGACTAAGGCATTCTTTGCCTTGGGAGAATGCTAACTGAAAGAAAATGAAGAGATATTAGGCAATGTGGTCATTTTCAAATTTTCAAATTCAAATTCCCACATTTCTTTAATTGACTATCAGGCATTGCTGTAAGATGAATCTCCCTGTGCCAGATTATCCTGACCTGCTATTGGAGTGCAACTTCCAAAATAGATCAATGCTTATAATCTGAAAGAACCAGCAAGGAAGAGATACAGTGAAAAGGTGAGAGGAAAACATCAATATTGTCCTCTAAAATCACCTCCCCTAATCAGAGAGTTCTCCAAATACGTACACGTCAGGTCCCAAGCTAGTAGTTACTGCGGACAATTCTGCAGATCAAAGTCCACATATTTAGAGGGCAATGAAATAAAGCTCCTTTCAAGTTAGGCCTCTCCTGGAAAATTGAACAAGCCCAAACTGTTTTGCTTCACAAGTTCTAAGTTTAAACTTTTGCACAGTAAGGATATTTATTAGTCTAGTCTACTCGTGTGTTTTCAGTTGGATTCCTATACAAATGAGATTTAATTCTTATCCTGGAGATCTTAACAATATTTACTTTCTGATGATAGTCATCTCTGCAATGACTTTTTGCATATTTTCTGAAACCCAAAGTAAGACAGGCTGGGATTATTATTTGAAATTCTGCCTGCGAGATTCACTTCCAAACAATACAGGATGACAGAAAGTTAACAAAAGAATTGTAGACATTTGTAGTTGTAAAACCTCTTGCTCAATAAAAGGAAAAGAGGAGAACAGATTGTGTTAGGTGAACATTAGAGCCGAATTCCTCTAGATGTGTTCAGACTACAACTCCCCAAAATCAATGGTCTCGTCCAGGGGTGTCCAACCTTGGCAAATTTAAGACTTGTGGACTTCAACTCCCAGAATCCCCCAGCCAGCTTGAAGTTGCTAAGGTTGGAGACCCCTGGTCTAGCATTCCTGTTTAGATAGCACCCAACTGGTAAACGACAACTGGGAAGACTGCAGCTTCAGCAGACAACACAGGATGAAAACCACTCCGGAGGGGCGCGCTTCTCCGCAGGACAGCCTTTTTTTGTGATTGGCTAACGTCCTTCCTGAACGCTGAAGTGACGCGCGAGGCGGCTGGGCAAAGGGACCTCCCACTTTCTCTACCGTTCACGCCCTAAACTGTCTCCGCTGCCTCGTAGAGTCTTTGCCACCGCCAATCAACTGCGAGTTCCGGATTTGGTCCGCCTATCCGAAAGAGGGCGCTGTCGCACCTTTCCTGCGACTACCCACAGGAGAGCGAAGTCCCTCCGTTCGAGTTGAGGGGCAGGAAACGACGAGTGGCGGTTTTTTGCCCGACGCTGGAGCTAGAGAGTCGCCCGAAAAGGCGGAGGCGAAGTTGGGCGGAGCGGCTTGGCCGAGCTTTCTTCTTTTCGGGCCCCTCGGCGGACACACGAGGGGACGGAGGGACAGAGGCCACCGAAGCAGGGGCCGAGGAGGGTCTCGCCATGGCGATCCGCAAGAAGAGTAACAAGAACCCTCCCGTGCTCAGCCATGAGTTCGTCGTGCAGAACCACGCGGACATCGTCTCCTGCATGGCCATGGTCTTCCTGCTGGGGCTCATGTTCGAGGTGAGAGGCGGCAGAAGGCAAAGCGCTGCAAGACCTCAGTGGGGCTGCCGGATACCCGACGGGAAGGGCCGGGCGGAGGTTAGCGGGGAAGACGTTTCAGACTGACACGGGCGAAGGGAAACCCAATGGTTTCCAGGAAAAGAAAAAAATGAAACCAGGAAAAGCCAGAAGGGATTCCTAGTCGCAGGGCGTGAGCCTTGAACGCCTCGGTTGCCGTGTGTGGTGGGTGGGTGGGCGGGGTGGGGTAAATGCAGTGCCTGGACCGCTGTAAGCGTTAAACATACCCGTGTGTGTGAGCATATGGATCCCCCGCACCGCAAATGGCTTGGCGGATGAGGAGGAGGAGGAGGAAAGCGACCGTCTCTCACTCGCAAATCTTTATCAGAACTACCTAGTCGCCAGTACAGAGGAAGAGGGGGAGGGAAATAAGCAACCGAAGAGCGGATCCTACTCTGTGACTCCCATGTGGAAGGGCAGCTTCGCTTGTCTGTCCTCCGGGTTATATCTGGTCATATCGGTCGTTCCTTGTATTATTGCCCGTTCTTGCCTGAAAAGAAGGGGGGGCAGGTAGGGCTGCATATAGCCTCAGCAATGACAATAGCGAGGTGATGCGAATATCGGCTAGCAACTCAAAGGTGCAACCTAACCCCCTGCCGGCGGGAGCAGTGGTCCCTTCTCCACGGATACGGCCGGTCGGGTGCTTGTCCCTGTAGCTTCGTCAGACCGTTAGACACCCACCCACCCCCCATTCGTCCAAGAGGGTCTCCCACCCATTGCAGGTCTGTCTCTGGTCTCAGTGGAGCTTCTTCGGGCAGCTGCAGTGTCCTGGCGCAACCGGGCTTAAATGCAACGCCGAAAGCCCCCCTTTTAAGCCCGGGTGTATTTTAACGCTCCTTTCCTGAGAAATCACATTGATTGAACGGGTTTCGAAGCAAGCGTGGGCAGCAGCAGCAGCGACTCCCGATGTTTAGCTTCCCGAAACTGGCGGGGGAAGAGAGGCAAACAGAGAGAGAGTTGCACGTTTTTGCAAGAGGAGCTGTTTTGCTCCTGCACGCTCCATTCCGGCGGCTCGGGAGTTCCGGATAGGTTACGTGGCACTCGGAGCGCGAGCTCGGTGTCGGGGCGGGCGGGGGGAGTTGGCCGCCTCTGCGATTTCGGGGCGGGAAGGCCGGCAGGGTTATGGGGCGAGTGGAGGGTGGGAGGCTGCAAGACGAGGCGTCTCACATTGCCGAAGCTGGTGGGAGGAGAAGGGGGGCGGAGAGGAGGCGCTTGCCTTTTGTGTGCAGCCGGAGAACTACAAACCCCATGGGGCGTTGCGGCAAGCGACTCCTCCCCTCCGCTTCGGAAAAGGTGAAATGGCTGGTGACGTGTACAGAGAGCCGTCCGCGATGCACATCAGAAGGGGCGGGGTTGGTTCACGCCCCTGAGGATGGTATGACACGTATCCAGTTTTGCCTGTTACGGCTGTAGCGTAGAAACATACCGGAAAAAGGGCTGCAGGATGCCCCAGTTCCCTAACTCGCTTTTCGGCGGTGGGGTGGCACATAGAAGCCTTGGAGCTTCACCCACCGTTAGAAAATTTGCTCCAGAAGATAATAAAGGATTGAAATGGCGTAACTTTCGCATTTCTAGTTTGGATCACTTTTAGCATGGAGAAAAATATGCCTTCTCGAAAGGTGTGAAATTAGAATTTCAAGGAAGAATAGCAATCTGCCTTTTGTGCTGAATAATCATTGGCTGAGGTCCCAAATTTTGTAGGCTGAATATCCTCTGGATTATGGATTGGCTTTCAATTCAGATTTTTTTTTTTTTCTGGATGCAACCAGTTCAGTGTTGTGCAAAGCCAGGAAATGCTTAATGATGGTTCAGCCACCACTGTGTAAAATGTATTTAA